AAATATAGTCCGTTAAATTTGATGGTTGAAAATTTATACACGATTAGTAACCACATCAGGACCTTCTACCTTATTTAAAAAAAACAAATGCAATAATTTGAATTATGCAAAATCATGCTCATAGTCCATTTAGTTTTATTGTTATACCGAATTGAAAAATGGAGTACTAAGTTGAATTGAAGTGTATTTATAATTTGATTTAAAAAAAGTCCAGTGCTGTTCAGTAGATCGCTGTAGTTGAGAGTTGACAGTAGGCCAGGCCAGCCCAGAAGGATATTGCTGCGCCCTCAACTAAGATTTGTTCAGAAAACGGATCCACGCCAAGATATTTATTCCTCAATTTTATTTTCTTTTTTTATCAGAAACAAAGAAGAAAAGATGCTTGTTCATGTTGACAGAATGCCAATTCAACTGTGAGATAATAGTACACAAAACAAAAAGAAAAAGAAGAGAAGAGATCTCCCAAAACAAAGAAATAGCTCATTTGGAAGTTGGAGACTGTTAAATAGATGTATTGTTGTGACTTGTGAAAGCATGTCATAATATTATACATGTATTGTTTAAATTTGATGCATTGTAGAATACATAGTTTGATATGTGTGATTGTGTATGTCATGTCAGTTAAAAGCTGAGACAAAACAATCTCAACTCAACAATCACAACTAAAAGTTGAAATATTACTATCACTCAAAATGAGTGATAGTTTCTGTCACATCGCATAAACAATTCATGTATTGTTTCTGGGGTTAATTACATGGTTGGTCACTGAGATTACAAAAAACGTTCATATTTGGTCACTGTAAATATTTAAATTCAATCTTGGTCACTCAAATTAGTTAAATGGTTCAAGTTTGGTCACTCTCCGTCCAACTCCGTTAAATTTGTCTGATGTGGCAGTCAACTCTCAAAGTTGACCGTAACTCAGTGATGTGGCAATTAAAAAATAATAAATAAAATTTAATTTTCTACCATTTTCAACTCATTTTCACATCAAAGTAAAATAAATAAACAAAAAAAAAATCTTATAATTACAAATAAATCGGTTCACGACTCGGCAATTGGCGTTCATCCCGAACCAGCGACCGACGTCTCTGATGAAGATTCCATCGGCGGGCGCTTCATAAGCACCATGGACGCGGAGTCGGCCGCCGCGAATCAAGAATGTAGCGGAAGCAGCGGAGGGGAAGGAGTTAAGAGTACCGAGAATGGCAACAAGGAGGAGCAGCGAGAGAAAGGGGAGACGACGACGAAGAAGGATGATGTGGGAGGAAAAGTAGAATCGGAGTTCTTCTGCTGCTTGCTTCAGCCTGCCAATGCCGATTCAGATCCTTATTATGCCGGCATCCGGCGGCTCCTCCTCTATCGCAAAGCGGAGTCTGGTTGCGTCCGACGTCTGGTGAGTTGTTCTCCCCCGTCTGCGCACCTTTTGGTTGAAACCTGCAATGCTATTACCACTGGATCTAGGTTCGGGTTTAGACGTTCTGCATCGAGTATTAGGGGCTTGAATTGTTATTGAAACTTTCCTTTATTTGTAATTATAATATTTTTTTGTTTTATTTATTTTACTTTAATGTGAAAATGAGTTGGAAATGGTAGAAGATTAAAATTTATTTTATTTATTATTTTTTAATTGCCACGTCACTGAGTTAACGGTCAACTTTGGGGGTTGACTGCCACATCAGACAAATTTAACGGAGTTGGACGGAGAGTGACCAAACTTGAACCATTTAACTAATTTGAGTGACCAATATTGGATTTAAATATTTACAGTGACCAAACATGAACGTTTTTTGTAATCTCAGTGACCCACCATGCAATTAACCCATTGTTTTTGCTAAAAAATAATAATAATGCATTCTAAACAATATATGTATAGTAACTTCCAAACGAATTCCTACCTTTCCCTAGTCCAACTTTGATAATAATCCTAGCCCAACTTTCCTTCCATGACAAACAAAAAATCATTGTTAATAAGGTGTATGATTAACTAAAAGAAGTAAAATTATTTTGGAAGCTACGTTCTTGAAATCCAAGTTACATGCTAGTTCAAAATTGTAGTAGACTCCGTCCGCAATTTATCGGAGGAGGGGAAAAAAAACAGTTGGGTAGAGAGTTAACAAGTCAACTTTGATGATTGACTATATAGAAGATCTCATCAAATTCAAATTTAAACAAATACATGTTCGTTCAAGTGATTATTTTCTATTTAATTTATTATTCTTGTACATTTTTTTATCTCTCTATTTTTAACAATAAAAAACAATTTTCACGTTAACAAGGTGGGTTAATTGGTTAAAGGGTTGGGGGGTCATTTCAAAAAGAGATTTCAAGTTCCAACCCACCCTTTCTTCTCTCTAATGTTGGTTTCAATGTCGTCTTTTACTCTAGAGAAGTTGACTTCCATAATACTGGACATTTTCACAAACTTTGTAGCTTAAACTAGAAAGAGGCTTCTTGGAAACCTCAAGGGGTGGTGCTCTTAGTAGGGCGGCAAATGAGCGGGAGAAAAAATGGTGCTCTTAGTAGAGCGGCAAATTAATCAAGCTGCTCGCGAGCATTTTGGTGTTCGAATCGAAAAAAACTCGTTTGACATTTGGTTCGTTATTTAACAAGTCGACTCGTGAGCCAACTCGATAGTAAGCGAGCCAAGTCTGAGCTAGACCATGCTCAGGTTGATATGCTCGTGAGCCAGCTTGACTCGGTGGCTTGTTGAGCTAAGCTTGCCAACTGGCTTGTTTAGAGCTTGTGGGATTATTAATTACTCTACTCTACTGAACATGAACATTAATTATCTTGTTAATATGAATGTGTATGGAAGATTGATGTTATTTTTAGTTCTAGTATTATTTTTATCATTTAAATTCTTATATTTACACATTTTTCAGCAAAAAATATATCAAATCGAGCTCAGTTTGAGCCAAACTTGTACTCAGCTTGACAAGCTATGTTAATGACATTTACTGATCTCTATTGAGTCGAGCTAGATTATTTTTATTCAAGTCGAGCACTAGCATGAGCTGGATTATCAAAATTCGAGCTCAACCTGTAAAATTTATAAACGAGTCGAGCTCAAGCTAAGCAAAAACTCGACTCGTTTGTAGCCCTAGCTCTTAGACATACAAGTTCGCACATCTTTGTATCTTAATCTACATTCTAATACTCAAGTATGTTATTTTTTCTTCATAAAACAAAATTCGAATGGGGAAATCCAACAAATGTTATCTTTGGGTGGGTTTTCCTCGAATCCGAAAATTAGGGTAATGAGTTTGGTGCGATTTTGATATTTTAAGTATCCGCACCGAATCCATCCAAATAAGTAGTATAACAATGTTCTAGGCTCATTGGACTAGGGGTATAAATTGGTGCAGTTTGGGTTACCCGCCCATATTTCGTGGTCAACAACATTCACAAAGTTATGATTATGTTAATCACAAACCACATCGCAGTGGTGAGTTGGTTACCACCACCCACTGCGGTTTCGTGCGGCTTAGTTGTGGTAAATTCATCTTTGCCGACATGGAGTTGCAACCACCACCAACGAATCCACAATTCACGATTAGACTATAATGATATACTGTCTTGTTGTTTATGGAGATGAAATTTTGTATATCTTACTAAGCGTGGAGGTTTTGCGTTTCCGAGTTTGTTATTTAACTTTTATGTTGTAGAGAAGAAGGAGACGAAAGTTTTTTGCTTTATAAAATGCAAATTAATCCCACACGAAACATGCTTTAACCTTTTATTTTGACAACGAGTTTTTTTTTAATCTTTTACGGAATCAACCATTGTTCTTTATATCATAAAAGATTATCAATAAGTATAGTGGACTTAAAGATAAATCAAAATATTGTTAGACTAATCTGGTTACAGTGAGTTTTGTGGGTTAATCACCGACGAGTAACGACTAAACACAAGATTCAAGATTTTGCTAACCACAAGCAACCCGTTGCCGACAAATCACAGGAATAATTATCCATAATACGTATGCTTTGGTACGATTTACGGGTTATTCACAAATCTCAAACCAAACTTCCACTCCTAGTTTGCCCGTACGAAGGGTCGCCACAAAATTTTACTTGGATGAGATGCGGGGACTCGTTGTAGTAATGGATGGCAGCATAACCAACCCAACATCATACTGAACTTTGACCACCGACCTTTTTATCGAGGCCAAAATTTATGGACAGGGAAGGAGACGTGCATATCGATCCAAATCTGATACTGGCTTGCAATTGGGTGGATCAATTTGCTAAGATTAAGGTTGTCTTTGTCTGCCAAATAGTTAAGTAAGAAAGAACTACAGTTCAGTAGCAAGTATAATAGTTTTGCTTTTGGCAGCTGCGTTTTCAAGGCGGATGTAGTGGTGCTAGTGAGCTGCAGCCCTGCTCTGCTGTGTCGTCGCCCCTTTCCTGTACGAAATTAACCCGCGAACTTGTTTAACATTCGGAGTAATAAAAATAAGGCATGACGAGCTACCAAATGGATTGATATCTTGCGATTTCGACCCATGAACAAGAGGCAAAGACAACATCGATTCATCCAACGAATCCCATTTTCTCCCAAGATCACACTGGCCCCTCGCATAGGCTGCGTTTCGAGATGAACATCTGTCACAGTGCGAGGTAATCCCCGCTCGGTACGTGGTGATTCCATTGCGCAGCTAGCAGCACTGCAGCAGCCGTGCTGCCATTGATACTCTCTGAAGTTAACACAACCTCTTTAAGCTTTTTTTCTTGTGTGTAAAATTTTGACGTTGGGCCTGCCTCTTCGTGGACATTCTGGGCTGGTCTCTATCTCTCTTCAGTAATTTCCATTTCCTTATCTGTTGGGCCCAACATAGAGACCAATAAGAGCCCAAGACCTGAAACCCGACGACCATTCCTGCTGACACTACACTGCAACGGTTGGTCATATCTCGCAATGACAGCCATAACGAGTGCTCAGCTTCATACAATGATACAGCACAACTCGGCGAAAAAATGCAATGCCAAGAACAGATTCTACACGTTATCATCCCCATAAATCTTGTTCCTCAAATCCTGCCAAACTTCAGGCCCTCTTCTGTGCTTTTCTACATACCGTCCGAAGAAGACAGAATCCGAGGCGGCAATCATATTGCTCAGGGAGAGACCAGGTTTAACCACTCCTTCATCTTTCAGCCAGCCATACATCAGCAACCGAAGCTTGATTCTCTCCACCTTGAAGTTCAGCAGGGATGGAAATCCAACGACACACGATATCGAGTAACCAAACTCCTTCACCAGAAAATCGATCTTCATCGCGGTGACATCCTTCGACTGGTTAAGAATATGTGGGGATACCTTCACCATCCCCAGGACGGCTTCCCTATCCAACCCGGCTTCTATGAGGTAATCAAACCTCTCCTGAAGCTCACTCCCTCTGCCGCGGAAAACCTTCAACGCTTTCGCCATTTCAGTGGAATTCTCCACGTATCCCAGGCCCAACAGGAACTTTGTTTTACAATCCAATCTTTGCCCTCTTCGACTCTGCATCGGTTGAACTCCAACGCCCAGAACCCAGTTCTTCATTGTCCGGGGGTCCTCCCGGATGAGCTCACGAAGTCTCTTCTTCCCAATGTTCAGACGGTAGAGCAATGTCTTGGTCTTCTTCAGAGTACATGAACCGAGCAGCAACGCGTGAGAGTGAACGATCTCTGCAATCTCACATGGTTCCATTTTGATCTCGTCCAGCATGTGAATTCCCTGCCTCAAGTTTGAAACAAATTTCCCAACCTCCATTTTAGGGAATTGTTGTAAGATAGAGACTATCTCGGCCATTGCAAATCCTGTTTTGAGTAGTACACCGATTAGCAACACTGACTGCTCTGCACCGAAAAGAATCTCTGGATGCTCGATCAAGAGCTGGCTTAGCTTCTTCTCGTCGCTATAACCTGCATTGGTTATAGATTTCAGCAGTAGCAAAGACTGCTTCCAGTTACAGGAAGAATTCCTCTCTGATAATTGATCTTCAATCCATTGGAAGTCAATCCCTATTCTCTTCAATATCTCCATTACTCGAACGAAATCAATATTCACTTCCCCAGTCAATAGGTAAGGAAAGCAAGAAACAACTCTAGCCACGAAAGAAGTGCTAAAGCCTAATTCCTCATAAGCTGAAAGTTTTGCTGATAACACTCCCTTGCCATACCTGAATACTTCTGTGGCATCCCTGTAGATGATTCCGATACTGTTCCTCTCGATCCCGTAGGTAGCTAGAATGCGGTAATTCTCAAGCAGAAATTCGTCATCAGCCAAGAACATCAATTTGCGTGGCAGAAATGGGGAGTACTCGCAAGGTTTCAATCCTAGGCTCTCGAAGAAAGGTTCGAATTCGTTGATCGGATGGTAACAGATGAACCGAGTGATTGCTAGGGCAATATCACCTTCGGTGTTGACCTTTCTGATTAATTCACCGAGGAAATGATGCGAATGTCGACTCATATTCTCAGCGAAGTTGAACTCGAACCCTCTATTGATATGCAAGTAGTCCAATAGAGCAGCTTGGGCCTCTTTTCTCATGGAAGGAGTAATTCTGCCGACCTTGTGGTCACTCTCGGAAGAAACCTTGCCTAGATCATCATGCATTTCAAGTTCATTCACTCTGTAAAACCTAGGAAAGGAACCCACCACCGGCAAAAATGGAGTTCTCTGAATATCCGCAAAATTGGGCGAGAACCATTTGACAACAGAGCTTACTCTAAATTTCAGCAAATGGGTCATGGGAAAACTACGCGCATATGCAGTATTCAATGGAGAACTTCGGAAACGATAACCAGAAGATGTCGAAGCAAAGCATGAACTGACGGGGGAGCAAGCGAAGCAGGAAAAGAAATTGAAGCTTCTACTGAAGAGTTCTATCACCTTGGGTTCTGGTTGCGGCTTTTCTCAGGTCACTAAGCGGTCGTGTTGGCCATGAAAGATTTGAACTTCACGCTTTAAGCCTTGGATCAATGGCTGGCATGCCATGGAACTATACTCTGTAAACTCTGATTCTCGAGAGAGGGGTTTTGGTTTGGGAAGAAATTGGGGCGAGGGTTTTACAACAGTGAATACGAGGAGGAAGGAAAGCGCAGAGGGCCTTTTAGTCCACACAGGGCTTTTTCTATATCTTGTTCATGTAACGGTAAGCAAGGTTGTCAACTCTATTTAGCTCGTTAGACCAGCTAATTAAGTGGGTTTAGGGTTAATGATCCAATCACTTTATTTTGGTTTAATCAGGTAAATATTATTCATTAATTTATAAATTCTATCAAATTTCACTTAACATATGAGAAATAACATATAACATTACTCTGAAATAATAGGTTGTACTTAGATCCAACATATAATGAAAATTCACACACTTATATAACATCATTATTCAAACGTTCAACTTAGAATTCTAAAAATAAGTTTAGCCGAAGATGAAAATCGGAAAAGAGGGGCATTTCGCAGGCCATAGGAAAAAATCGACGCCACGTGACCTTCAACTCGGTAACCTTGCATAGGGTTGACCTGACCGGTGTGGGTGCCCGTTTCTCTCACCGGTTCAGGTTCAAAACAGGTCGACCCACGGGTTGACAACCTTGTGTATAAGTGAGTAGACAGTAGTGTGCTAACCAAGGCTGTCAACTCAATTAAACCATTAACCCATTCAAACAAATAGCTAAGAGTCGTTGGTCCAATCGATTTAACCCGGTTTCCACCTGAATATGTGGAGAAAAATTATTAATATTACATATTTGTATAAAGTTATTTCAATGTATATTCAAACAAAATATATAATATTTAGAGTACGGTATGGTGACTTGCAAGTCAACATAACTTGCACAAAACAGTTGATCTAAACAACATAAAGATCGAACGGTTTCACTAACGTAGGCATTCTGGTAAGAAATAGAGGTCGACCTCAAACCTGCGAAGGTCGACCATTTTAAGGGACTCATAAGCAAAAATTTCAACAATTCTCCTAACAAGGTCGACCATATCAGCAAAGAGGTCGAACATTTAAATGGAAAGGTCAACACAAAAGAAGAATTCACTTGAACTGAGAGAGGTGAATAAGATGAACGTTGGCTAGGTGCCTAGGTCAACTTTTATAAATAATAGACTAACCGCTTACTGGAAAATGAGACGACAAACTTTTGAGATGTTGCTTATTTAGGTCGACCTCTACATGTTGACTGGTCGTCCTCATTTCACCAATAATGTCATGCACCTACTGAAATCTAACTAACTACCATAGAAATTCACAAATTCAATGCATAGTAGATGATACCGTATTGAGCATAGTAGTGAATGACATTACGAGTTGGTTTAAATGAAGCAGATTAACCAGATTGAGTTGATATTTGGTGTATGATGAGTAAATATGAGAATGGATTGTTGTGGATGTTGGATTAAAATGATGTTGGTATTGTTACCAGTGACAAATAGTTGAATATTAGCGTAACCTCCAGAAGAAATAGCCGTTGTAGAGTTGAACTATTGGTTTAACCCATGAGTTTTAGGGTGGGGTGTTATAGCTGCACCAATGTTGTGAGTCTTGATGTAGTAAGCAAGCAGAGACTGTACCATTAAGCATCCACTACCTTACAAACTTCACTGGTTGAATGACTATACAGGCATCAAGGTGAACAAGAAGGTCAAGGTTCGATTTCAGATTGGCGAGTATGCATATGAAGTATGGTGTGATGTTGCCCCATTGCAGTCTACTCATCTCTTATTGGGTCATCCATGGCAATTTGATCATGGAGATATTCACGACGAAAGACATAATAGCTACCGGTTCAAGCAAGGAGATCGAAAGTTTCTACTCAAACCATTGTCGTCAGCTAAAGTCCGAGAAGATCAACAATATATGGAGTTGAATTGGGAAAGGGAAAGAGGAAATGCAAGTGGCTCGAAGTTGGAGGACGAAATTGGAACCCATCTTATGGCTCGAAGACACATGTTGACTGCGCTAAGAAGAATTTACGCGGGAAGTTTTGGTGATGGTCTCTCTTACTAGGGGTGGGAAAACGGTTGCGGTTTTGCGGGTAAACCGCAACCGCACCGAATAAGAGCGGTTTGTGGTTAACCGCAAACCGTTTAAAAGGGTCTTTATTCAGTAACAGTTAGTGAAATTGGCTCTTTTGCGGTTTGTGGACTAACCGCACACCGCACTGAATAAGTAACTCCACCGAATAACTAACCGCGTAAGAGTATACCCAACCCAAGCCCAACCCATCCAACAACCCAAAAAGAATTTTTCAAGTGCATTTTCCGTATTAGAACTTAATGTGGATGGTTTCTTTTGGATGTTTAGAACTTAATTTTGTTTCTCACTTTTTCAGGTGCATTTTCCTTATTTTAGTGTTAATTTATCAAGTGCATGTTGCTGGATTTTACAAGTTAATTCGGTTTTTGTTGCGGTTTTATTTCATTTCGTGGTTTTTTACTCCGTTTAACTCTTAATCGCAGTGTGCGGTTTAAAGTGCAGTTAACCGCAATTAACCGCTAACCGTGATTTGTGGTTAGTGGTTAACCGCAAACTGTTTGCATTGCGGTAACGGTGGGTGGTTTTCCCCTTGTGTGGTGGCGGTTAACCGCGCTTATTCGGTGCAGTTAACCGCAACCGCACCGTTTCCCACCCCTATCTCTTACAGGAACACACAAGCTTTGAGGGTAAAGCTTATTCAACGGGGAGGGAGTGATGTGATTCCCCGACCGACCAAGAATCAGAACGCAGTGATCGGGGTTGACAGGCGGAAGGCGCCAACCAGAAGGGATCAGATCCCCGACCGGGGATCAAAAGGAGCGACTGTGGAATAGGAGTAGGAGACCCCCCCCCCCATCAGGAGGATTACATTCCCCGATCGGGGATATGAAGGCACGCGACTGGGGATCGGGCGCTGACGGGTTCAAATTACTTTATGTGTTTAGAATTCTTTTCCTTTTCGGGTTTTTATTAGTTTTTGTTTCTTTGGCCTTTTTAAAGGCTTAGACTCGAGTTTCAGAGTAGAGTTTGAAATTTTTGGATCGAGCTTTTAGCTTGTGAATTGTACTTTGTATCCCAGGTGGTCGAGCTTCTACCCTATATTGATAGAGCCTTTTCCCATGTGTGAGATTGTACTTTAATTCCGTTTTATCCTTAATCATAAACCATGTTCTTTGTTGTGCAACTTTAATAATTACGACACCAGTTTGCTCCTATCAACCGTAGTGTACCAAATAAAGTCAACATAAAGACTAGAAAACGAAGAAAAAGAAACATGTTTGTGCCAAGATACCACCGAACGCTTATCCTTCACCTTTCCATTTTTCCGTCACCCGGGCGCCTAGAACCTGCACCCACAAGCGCCTAAGGGCCTTGGTCGACCCGTTAGCACTCCGAAGCTCAAGTCAGTGCCCCTCTCTAGAGAGATAAGTGCTGGAGAGTATTTTTGTGAGAGAAGCCAACCTGCGTAAATGCTATCGTCTGCCCCTATTTATACTCACCGAACCCGAGGTTGATCTCCGCCACGTCACTTCCCTCATTCAATGCTCTGCGCCCTCAGACAGCTAACCGCCCTGTCAGGCTCCTGACACCTGACTGGCATTCCACAGCTCTGCCAGGCTCCTGACACACGACAGGCGCCCGCAGGCCGTGGTCCACCATCCAGCTGGTCGCCACCTGGCTTTTGGTGCTCTGTGTGACAGCTAACCGCCCTGTCAGACTCCTGACACCTGACAGGCGCCCCAGGCCGTGGTCCACCAGCCGGTTGGCCGCCACCTGGCTCTTGGTATTTTACTCTTTTGGGCTTTGTCCCCTAGCTCGCTGGGTAATACCCCCAACAATTGCCCCCCCCCCCCCCAGTTAGGTGCTCGTGGCTTCGCCAACGAGCGCCTGACTGAACCTCTAGTCGTAGCCCAGCCTTCTGCTTAGTTGCAGGGCGTCTGTCACTCGGCGCCTGCATCGTGCTCTCATTTGTTTCTTGGTCCTACAAGGTGCGTTTGCCTTTCTTCCACCGCGATCAGGCGTCCCGCCTTTGTCTGTGTCCCTTATCGAATACTCTTCCAGGTGCTTCTGTGCCTCTTGCCTGCCAAGGCGCCTTTTTGATTAGCCCTCCTTTTCGGGCGCTTCATGGTGTCATTCTTGACGAGTGTCCTTATCCCTTGTGCCCCCCTCACCCACACTGTGCTTGTGGGGGAAATTTGGATAAAAGAAAAATTCAAAATTCGAAATTCGAAATTTGGGAGTTGAGAAATTTCCCCGAAAAGGAGAGTGTGGGGGAAGCTCAAAGGTCCGCCTGTGTTTTGGTGACGCGCGAAAAGACCAAAAGGTGGGGAGAGCTGAAGGGTTTCCTTCGGCATGACTGACACGTGTCATGCGACGGGTGAGCCTTCGTTTCTCTTTAAATACCCCCCCCTTTGTGATGCTGTCACTTTCTTCTATTTGTCATCTCTCTAGAATCTTGCTCTGACTTCTCTCTAGAATCTTCCGCTCTGACCTCTGTCCTCTTTCCTCTTTGTTTTTCTCGGCCAACACTTCATTCTCGTCCAAAAAATGTCGTCTCCACAACAAGACAAGACTTCTGCACCCGGCGCCTCGGGCGCAGGCGCCTCCGGCGATGGTGGTGAAGCAA